ATAATTCTATATTAGAAATAGAATTTTGCTAATCATAACTGTGGTGATTATTACCAGTGTGTGTAATTAGCCAATCAATTTGCAGGATCAGGTATAATGTGCAAATTAGTTTGTATAACAAAAATAAAGATTTTTTTCAAAAAATGCCAATATATCAAGAATTTGTCTATGAAACTATCTTCGACATTCTAGCAAAAAAATTTCTTACTAAATTTTGTATATATTTAACACCTTGCTAAAATCTTAGGCCTTGCACTAATCCTAAAGTAGAGAAAATAAATTTTTATTTTGTTTTATCATTATTGGCTAATTACACACCAGTGATAATCACCGCAGTTATGGTTAGTTAAATTCTTAAAATTAATATATTTTTTATTATAAATAAATTCTATTATAGCACTTACTATTATAAGTACTATAAGTAATTATGTTATAAAACTTGTTATTTTGTTAACTATAATATATGATTAAGATGTATTAGTTTGTATTTAAATAGTTGTAATTTTTATTTATTTTTTTTATATTAACTAGCCTTTTTGAAGCTAAGATTTTTTATTCAAGTATTGAGTAAAGAGGCTTATAACGGAACCCCCTATTATATTAAAAATACAACTAGCCATATATATAACTTTTGATTGCCTATTTAAATAGTTTGCATATTAGTATTATACTGTAAGGACTATACTATTTGCCATACCTATAACTCTACTAGGAGATTATCTATTTAAACTCTCTATAACACAACCTACTTGTATTATTAATACATCTCTATTACATTTGTCAGTTAAGAAGTTCCAGATGCTTTCTCTATTCTAGTTGTGATTTTTATTTGAATTCTTAAAAGAATAAATTTGAATAAATTTAGTTTTATAGCAGATATACTTGCATTAAGTTAAAACAAAATTAGAAAATAAATATAAAACACAAGTATAATCATTGAAGAGTTTTGGAATATGAAAAATTTTATAAGATATAATAAATTTACAATATTGGTATCAATTGGAGGTAATAAATATATGCATATATAAAAATTTTTATGCATATATGTGCAACTAGTAGTTGGTTTATGCAATCAAAACCTATACTATAACTGCAATTGTGCAAGTAAATTTTAATCTGAATTTTAAACACTGCTCAGAACAATGCAACGGTTACATACTAGTAGATACTTAAATAACTTACAAATTATTAACTTAGATTATATATGGCTTATCACATAATATCAGATCTATTGTTTAGTTTTAGTTAAGAAAAATCCTCATAAAAATTTTTGGTTGATCTTTAGTATAGGTGGGCATATATGCTTATTATGCAATTATAACATATATAATATAACTATTTTGAACTAATTTAAGTAATTTTATAAATTATTAGGGTTAGGGTTAAGGTTAAAGTCTAAATTGGCTCAAATTAGTTAGGTTTTATATATTATAATCTTGTAATAATTTATATATGCCCACCTATACTAAAGGTGATCCTTATTTTTTATTTGATTGTAAAAAATTTTACTACGTAGCATAATCACCAAAAAAATATTAACTAATTATTATACAAACCAAAGTAATCTTTATAAATTATATATAAAAAAATATTAATTTAATGTTTTTTAACAAGATTAATTAATTTATAATTAAGAATAATAACTTAGTAAATTAAAAAATTTTCAAAAAAACAAAATACTATTTAAACCAAATTTTATTTGGGCATCTATACTTAAAGTTGAAGGCACGGTGTTTCGGGGCATGCCTCAAGAGTATGCCTCAAGAGTATGCCTCAAGAGTATGCCCTCAGGCATGCCCAAAGGTATGCTCTTGGCCAAATAGCATGCCCGTATCGTATCGTATAAATATAAATTTCGATCACGTGGAATTGATGTACTATGATTGGTTATAAGACCTAGCAACTATCTCAAGAACTGCACAACCAGATTCCAAGATTAGATATAATATAAATCAACAATAAAAATATAAAAGGCGAAAAAATGTTTTTAAAGGTTATATATGATTTAGAAAATTTTCATATAGATTATACCTGAGTACAGAATTTTCGGAGGTGTTCTTGGAGTAGTTAGATCTAGCAGTGCAGCATCTGGTCATATATATAAAGGGGCATGCCCCGGGCACAATAAAAGAGGCATGCCTCAGCCAGAGGTATGCCCTCCGTGGCATGCCCAAATTTTTTTCCCGTGCCCCCAACCCTATCTATACTAGATAAGTCTTTATTAAAAAATATATATATAAGTTTTTAATATTTTCTAATATATACAGTATAATAAAGACAGAATTACTATAAATAAAAAAAATTCCAAAACTCAAAAAAGTATTTTAATACCACAAAAAAATAAAATTTTGGTTTAAATTCTTGAACTGCTTATTATAAAAGCAAAATATATACTGTATATACTTGAAAGTTTTCTTTCTTGCAATACAGACCGTAATAGCATAATATAATCGGGGTTTATTGCAAATTTTTCGTTAAGTATTTTGTATTAGACCAGGTCTTTTAGTCAGTGCACTATGGTAAATCCAGTATATAAAATTAAAATATAAAGCTTTCATTAAATTTGGTTTTTCAAAAACTTAAAAAGTCTTATTTATATAATAAATAATTACTGACCGTAATTCAACCTCGTCTTAATATCTGATATTAAAAAACACCGTAATTCTATTAGCCGGAAATATAGAGCATTACGTAAGATATTGCAGATATGCCTGTGCCCTCGTGCCCCAAACCCTAAATAATACCCCAGGAGTCAAGATAGCAAAGATTATAATGCTAGCGCTAGAAAGATACAAACTATTGAATGTCCGAATATCAGATTATTTTATGATTAACCAATCAAATTGAGACATATCTCCATCAATCAAATCCACACTACGTAGTGCTCTATTCCTGTCCTTGGGTAATAATATACATCTTTATAAAATTTTTAAGAAAATTCTATTTTAACCCGACTAAAGTCACTCAAATTATTGCTAATTTTAGTCATGTGACTGCCATTATAGCTTATCGTTATCGGGTGACTTTAACCCGGTGAATATAAGTTTTGACTCCACCCGGATAAAAATTTTATTAATACCCGTATTAATTTAGACAAGTGGCATAAAATCATTTACCATCTCGGATGAAGTATATACAAGATTATAAATATTATAAATATAATAAACAGATTCCTGTTATATAAATTTATATTCTTGTGGATTTGTTTATTATTTATATAATTATTTATTACCTATTCAAGATTATATTGATCTGTGCAAGTTTATTACAAGCTTATCGGTCGTTCACTTAGTATACATATTAGAATTTCTACTGCATAATCAATAAATTGTCTTTTAGTCAAAAAAAAAAAAGTAAATACTATTCGCGTCAAGATCGTGTTAATGTGATCAATCTGACATTAATGAACATGTGGACATGTGGGAAATATAACAGGCGATTTTTTTATTTGTAGGAAGAGATTATGGAAGTTTTTCCAAATATAGCATATCAATATTTAAATTATGGAGATAAAATGTATCGATGCCGGTTAATAGATTTTGCTTCCCATGATTGAAGACGAACGATTTGCATATGTATGCACATATATACATCCAGCCATACGGAGCTACATGTGTCTTCAAAGAGCATAGCAGGAAGAAACGTATGATTGGTTGCCAGTCAATTTATATTTAGTTTTTGTTGTCAAATAGTTACATGCGTATATTCATATTAGTGGTAAGAATTAAATGAACTAATTGAACGCCTTGCATATATATTTCAGGTGATCATGAATTATTGCATATTAAATTCTTTTTATGTAATTTGTTACCTTGATTTTCTAAATGCATGGTACACAATAAATATGTTGGAGCCATGCTTGATAGCATTTAGATTAATGGGATTCGATTGCAGACCTTTAGACATTCCACGAATAGGCGTTATGACCAAATCGGTCAAACAATTATAACGGGGATTACAAAACAGCGGGAATCACCGACTGTCCGCTAAAGTAGCGACAAGAATCTGATAATCGTAGTTTAAAAATTCGGAATTCTCACGAACGAATAAAATGCAGAATTATGATAATACCGATACGGGTTAGAGATTATATAATTCACAATAGAATTTATGTGTAAAAACATGGTGCACCAATCGCACATGATCAAACGTCAAGATTCTTCTATTTTCTTTGGCTATATAAATAACCTGCGGTACCATATTAGATAAAAACTTTTGGCTAATGTGTGATCATCTAGCATCAAATGTTTACAGATATTTGTAATATAATCGCGTTGCGACTTGTGATCAATTTTTCTTATAAAAGACGTCCAAATAAAATAACAAAAAATTATCGAAAATTATTAAAATTCCAGAAAAAAAAGATCTTTGTATTATAAAAAAGAAAACCGGAGAAGACACCCCTGTAATATATCTACACATACACATATATACACGGGGTATTGATATTTCTGTCCATGAATTACTTTCTTTTTTCACTAAAAAATCGGAAAATTAAGATTAATACAGCAGATTACCAACATAACAAACAAAACACAAAGGACACAACAGTCAATTTTTGGGGTATAATGCTAAAATTCTCTAATTGGAGTTGAGTAAACTAATATAAAGCTAGCAACGATTGGATTGGTTGTCACTGCAAAAGGTTGTTCCGTTTATACTCTTTGCTTGCAAAGAGACCTGTTGATCCAAAGGTAGAACACTGGTGCGGGGCTATAAACTAATATTGTTTCATTTGGTTCAAGCCACCACACCTTACAAAGCAAATTTTAATCCTTTTACAGCCAAATCTGCCAAGTAAATTTGCAAGGTAACACATTAGTAAGTCGCGATAGTATATATAAAAAAAAAAAAAAAAAAAAAAAAAAAAAAAATTATATATAAATAGAAACTTTTCAGAGACATATAAAAGCCGGGGACAATTCTTGTTAATTCTCCTGTTCCCTAAAGTAAACGTACCTACCTGTGAGATTTGACAGCGTACAGCAAGACAAGAAATAATGGGGGATCCAAACGCGCACCACTTAAATCACCACCATCATTTAATCCAGCACCAAAGGGTACTACCACAACACCAACTTGTAGGTGGTCCGGGTGCTCAACATCTTATAACGGATCCCCAAGCACAAGTTACCCTGGCAGCAGCTCCTCAACCTATGCATCCACAACACCAATTTCAACCGCAACATTATAACGTTCTTGATAGCTTTTGGCAACAACAAGTACATGAAATACGACACGGTGTACACGATTTTAAGGTTCACCAGTTGCCTCTCGCCAGGATCAAGAAGGTCATGAAAACCGATGAGGAGGTTAAGGTAGAGTTTTACAAACCGCTTCTTCTTTTTCACCAAAGACATTATTAGAGAATATATCGATCAATTTATGGATCCAAGGGATGGTTACACCGAATCCTAATGATTTCATCGTACGCATGGTGGTTTCCTTTTCTTCTCCGACTTTCATTCTACTTTGTTCATCTATAAATTACATTCGATATTGCTTTATCAATCTCCCGCGTATTTTTTTAATTTCTTACCCGTTATTCCAAATTTTCATTTTTCATAAAGATGATCAGTGCAGAAGTAAGTCATATCCTTGAAGAATTCACGCGAAAATAAATTTAGACAAATCATCCGAAATTTTGAACTTTATCATCATCAGGCTCCTATTTTATTCGCAAAAGGTTGCGATATTTTTATAACTGAATTAACAATGCGAGCATGGTAATCTTTTTTTTTTTTTTTTTTTTATCCGCATAAAATTTCATGATTCAAATTTCTAATATTAATTTTCAGGCTCCATGCCGAAGAATGCAAACGAAGAACATTACAAAGATCAGATATTGCTAATGCGATAAAAAAGATAGACATGTTTGACTTTTTAATAGATATTGTCCCAAGAGAAGAAAAAGTCAACGTAAAGACTGAAAAGGTTTGGAATAATGAATGAAAAAAAGTTAAATCCACGATCTATTTTAGTGATATTTGTTTGTTTGTCAAACAGCTGGAGTATCAGGATCATCAAAGTCCATATGGCTTTGGAATGGGGTTGGCACAGGGCGGACCTCAATTCAACACTGTAAGTTTCTCCACATTTTAATTTCTACATTTGTCTGTGAGTGTCTACAGCGCGAGATCGACCAAATCGATATTGCATCATAGGCGTACAAATCAATCAAACCTATTTTCACCGATTATATTTTGGACACGTGTATTTATTGAATCATTTTTATTTAGTCTCAAAATGTGCCTGTTGATCAAAAAGTAGTAGTTGATCCCATGACCACATTAAACGAACACCAGGTATGAAATTTATTGCCATGCAGCTTTTTCTTTATTATTTCTAATAATAATGATATTTGTCGAATTGGATGCTCGATCAGCAGCATCTACAACATATGCAATATATGCACCGGATGGAGCCGCAGCACCAACAAGTCCTTCATGATCATCCTGAGCAGCATCATTACCATCAACAGCCACCTCTTAGTTTACCCCCACTTACCCCCGTTGCAGGTCAACAGGTAGCATCCTTCAGGAATCATTCTCGTCCGCAGTATGCGACTGTTTCTGCCGAAGTAACTCCCGGTCCTTCGGCTAGACCAGTCACTGCAGAGCAAGTATACCAACACCATTATTATAATCAGCATGTGCAACAACATTCTTCCGAATCCCATCAGCACAATCTCCAGACACAACATTTGGATCATGTGCAACAACGCCAACCTGATCACCATCCTGTACAGATTAAATACGAAAGCGAATCCCCAATTTTAAGACCCGTTGATTGGTACTCGCATTCGCAACAAAGTTATGTGCAGAGTAACCCACATGTTGGTGGCCACGCTTACAGTCAACCAATTAGCGGACAACCGCCCCATGAGTACCATCATGAAAGTAGTGGAATGAATCTAACGCGTCACAGTGAGGGATATGGTCGGGGCGGTGGTCAACAACGTAATTGATTCCGTATCGAATTATTCTTAATATTACGAACATTTGCTAGAAAGTTTATGCATTCAGAACTTCGTTTCCGTTTGTAAAATACCTTTTTTTTTCTTTTTAACATAGACAGCGCCTGATGCACTCGTTTCACGTTTCAATTATGCTCTAAAAATAATACTTTATGTACTAAACTTTAAGAAAAATTTTCTACTAACCATTTATATAAACTCTAATAGAAGTATATTAAGGAATTTAAACCCTTTTATTTATTATATTATTTCGTGCATATTAATATGACCTTTTTTATGTAATTATCTGTAAATTCTTCCCACAACCTTCTTTATCACAAAAAAAAAAAAAAAAAAAATAGTGAGGAATATTAAAGGCTTTTTACTTTCTTCTGTAATTAAGATTCGTTATTGAACCCCCTTGAAAAAGCCTTTTTCATCCTTTAGAATGTATATGTATACGTATTGCCTTTTTCGCTTCCGAATTCGGTTCTTGTTTAGATACACCAATTTCTTTTTATGTTTTTTTTTTTGTAATATAATACAATTATAGATTAAGGAAAAAATTACAATTTTAAAATCATCATTTCCTTCTTTTTTTATTTT